TTACTTTCGTGTTATAGGCCGATTCTCGTGACGGAGGGATAAATCATGTTTTTTTCAACGAATGATTGCTGTTGTATTTTTGCTTAACAAGTATTACTTTTTTTGCATATATTCAGGCTTGTGTGTATTATAATTTGCCTTGTAGCTAATAGTCTGAGCACTGTTTCTGGAGCATGCAATCAATAATAATATTGCTATTGTTTTGTTACTGTTATTAACTTATTATCAACTCAGCCTTTTTATTTAAAAATGTATAATTTGTAGTATTAGGAGCATACTACATTGTTTACACTCATTGTATTTGTGTTGACATTACTAAGGGGCCCCCCAGACACCTGGATAAGTACGCCTATACAAACGGGGTAAACAAAATTTTTCTTTGCAAGAACAAAACGTGGGTGATGAAAATGTTAGACTACCCTCATCGCTTAATTTCTAAATGGTCGTTAGCTGTATATGATTGGTGTAAACAGTCTTTGTCATGCACACAGCACCAGATTGTTACGCGAGGCAACAATTGACACGAAAATGATCCATCGCGTAATGACCACTTATGAAAGACCACAAAAAAAATAATAAAAGGATAAACTATTTTAGATACAGCTTACTGTTTACCATTGGTTTTTTCTTTAGATATGGCATATTGTTTGCCATTGGTTCTTCGGCGTTTAAAATTTTCTGCATGCCACAACATTGCGTGCTTGTTAAATGACGCCACAAAGCTGGAGAGCATCTCCTTCTAAATGTAATTCAAGTAGGCTAGCTGCCAATCACATAAGTAGCAGCTATTTATAGCAGGTGATGAGATGAATTATGTGTATAATAAAATATTTCTACTTGCAGCATAATGGTGTTTAGTAGTTTGTGTGCGTATACATCTCTGTGAGCTCATACTTTCTGAGAGAATGAGGAATAGAGAGAAATAAGCAGCGCTGCACGTGTGTGCTTCTTTGCTGTCCGAGATGTATTTTGAGCTGTAACATACAATTCAAGTTGAGTGAAAACCAACTAGCCCGATTCTCAACTAAGCCTCCATAGTGCTAAAAACCACAGTCTCTCACCCTCTCCCTTGTCCTGTGGGTCAAGTTGTGGGGCAAGCTTAAAATCTGAGCTTGAGCAGTGGACTTGAGCTACTGAGCTCAAGTCCACTGATGGCCATTTTGCAAGCTGCCGCTATGGCTCCAAGTTACCATAAGCAAGGCTGATCAGGTTTATCAGAGACTAATGTGGAAACAATTTTTGGTGTTTCAGTACGGAAAACTTGAACATCAAAAATGATTCGTCACACTTATCGGCTCGCAAGAGCTTCGACAGAGCAGTGGTGATATATCCTTTTTGAAGAAAATGATTTTCCGGAAGCAGCAAATGCTTTTACTGGTTTTTAAAAAGTTTACTTGCTCCCATTCGTAACTGCATCAATAAGTCACAGCAGAATAAAAGCAAAAACAAGGGATGTAATATTAAGGGCCCCTGTTTAGCGCTTGCCTGCTCTGCAATACTACAGCACAAGACACGAAAGCGTCGCATAGGCGACCCGCACTGCAAAAAGCCTACAAGGAAAACTATCACAGTGAAAATGTTGGCGAAATTGTACTATGTTGTAACATTGCATCCTAACATTTTCATTCTCTTGTAAGAACATAATTGAGTGATTACTGTTATGACGGAAAATTTCGCCTTGTTGTTTTACCCAGCGTGCAGCCAAGAGGAACCACTGTCCATAGGCGTACCAACCGGGGGGGGGTCAAGGGGGGTGCGATCCCCCCACAGAGAAAAGTTGGGGGGCTGAGCCCTCCAACTTTTGACAGTGGTCACTGTCAGCTCCACGCTGTGGAAACCAACAACTAAGGCAAAATTTTTCTTCACCACAGTAATCACTCGTTTATATTGTTACGAGGAAATGAAAATGTTACCAGAGAATGTTTTATTGAAATAAAATGTTTCCTAAATTTTTGATGCGACGATTGTCCTTGATTGTTCCTTGCGGTGAGGGCCACCTATGCGACTCTTTCGCTTCTTGTAATTGCAAAGCGGGCGACAGAACAAGGCGCGATAGCGTCTTGTACTTGTTTGTTATGGATAGAAACAAGCAATCATTTTATAGACCAGTGAGAGCATTTACTGTTCCAGGAAAATTGTTTTCTTTATAGTAAAAAATTAATAGCCTCAATGCTACTTTATCAAAGCTGCCGTGAGCCGATGATTGTGACAAATCTTTTTAAACGATTTAGTTCTGCCGTACTAGAAGCGCCACAAAAAGATTTGCGCTTCTGTGTCTGATAAATCTTGCATACAGTAACTGGAAACGATGGCAGCAGTTCGCAAAGTAGCGAAGAATAAAGCAGTGGACTCAAGTACAGTCGGAAGCTCAGCTTCTAAGCTTACCCCGCAGCTTGACCCACCGGACTTGGCAGAAGGTTAAAGACCGTGGTTTTTCGCATGATGAAGGCCTAATTAGGAATCGGGCTAGTTGGTTTTTATTCAACTTGAATTGTCTTTTACAGCTCAAAATACTACTCTGAAAGAAAATGACCACTTACCCACAGCAGTGCTTAGTTCTCTCTCTCTCAGCAAGGAGGGGCACTGTCCATGTGACAGGGGTATGAAAAGTTTTCTGGAGTAACTGCGCAGTTAACACGGAAAGAGCGATTTACTCCTTCAGAAGACGAAATGTGCACAAAATATTGCACACAGCACCCCAAGGAGGGGCACTTTCCTCTTTGTGGAGTAAAGAACCCGTTCTTTAGGATAACAGCAGGAATGTTCGCGCCCGTGCCTACACAAACCTGTTTCATTTAAGACGGTTCTGTAGCATGGCATGGTGTAGTGGTTAGTGTACGCATATGCTGACTGAATGGTCGTAAGTTGATTGATTGGCGTGTGGGTTTTACCGTCCCAAAACCACCAAATTTCGACCACCTGGGATTCTTTACGTGCACCCAAGTCTGAGCACGTGGGCCTACAGCATTTTCGCCTCCATCAAAAGAAAAAAATGCAGCCATCGAAAAGCTGATTATATATACATTGTAATAATACACAGTTGCACTAGGCTGGGGTGTCAGCCATCTTCTTTATTTCAAACACCTTTTTCCTCTTCGTCTCCCTCCTACCCTGTCTAACGTCCACGTACACTCCCCCTCTTTGAAGACTCATCACTTCTGGGGTGATACATGTCGAGGTTTCCATTGGTCGCAAACTCCAGCACACCATCATCGCTGGTGTAACCGACCCATTTGAGAACGCCCTGTTACACTGCGATCTGCACCGCGCGATAAGGTCCCATGTACACCTGCTTTGTGCCAGGAAGGCTTTTTCTGATGAGCACCAGATCATTCAGTTGTATCTGGGGTATCCGCGTATTGTGGCAGCGGCCAAAGTTTCTCTTCATATTTTGTCGGTATCGCTGGTAGGCTTCCGAAGTTTTTCATTTTTTGCACAATTGCAGGAGGTCTGCAATGCAAAGTTCTTGATCAGCAGGAAGCACGGGTACCTTTCCAAAAGCTGCAAAATATGGGCTACACCCGATGCTCGCTGTGTGCGACCAATTGTGATGAGCAACATTTGCCTCCAAGCAGCACTTACATCCGCCCTGAAAAAAGACTGTAAAATCTGGAACATTCTGAAATATAGTGTTTTGTTTCGCAGTTATGCATCAACACATACTGCAGGGGTTCTCCCGGGAAGAAAATGCTCTAGACGAGTTATGCCTGTGTAACTCATGACCATATCTATTAGGAAAAAAAAAAGAAAGGAAATTGCAGTGAAAACAGTCATGTGCGAGACGGGGCTCACTGGCAAGAGGTCCGCGGGTTCGAGACCCCGGGTCAAGAGTGCACCCGATGGCGAAAATATGTGACCGGAGAGCGACAGCTCCTTCCGTTATGCGCGTGCACCATGTTATATGCGAAATAACCTATTTTTTAACAACCATTCTTGACATTCATAATATGCATTGATATGTTAATTTTGCCACAACAGGGCTCACAAGAAAGAATTTCTGAATGGATCATTAGCAGTGACAAAAAAAAAAGTTGGCATATAGTATGAAGATTTGATGAATGCAATAAATAATTTGGAACAATACTTTTCATGATAATGTTGCCAGAAATGACAAAACCGTTTACATGCCATTTTTGTCGTTCTTTCTTGTGTGCACGGTTGCATGCAATTTACAAACTTTTCATATTTAGTGGAAACACGAGAAGCGACCGGCAAGGTTCATTTTTTCTTTCACATTTTTTTCTAACCTTGTCGACTTTTGGTGTTTCGTGATGACTGCGACCACTTGCGACCACTTGCGACAGCAACGACCACTTTGGCTCCGGCCCATCTGTTAGTTAAAAATGCCTCCATGTCAGACCTTGACAATGTCCAAAATAGCGCCCATACAATGAAAGATTGAACGAAAATGGCTTTAAGATTCGTTGCAAGCACAGCCAGCTAATGTTTTGATATTTGTCGCTTCTACATTTGAACTACCACGTGTTTCTTCACAAGGCACAGTCTACGTGTGGCCTGCAACGTGTGTCCTGCAACTGTTGCCCTGCCGATGACGTGCTGGCTTGTTTCCTTTTGGCAAAATAAATGAGTGGTGAGAAACGTTACAGGTACGATGATTTTTGATGCGCACAATTATAACGACCCTAGAGCGGCGAAAAAAATGTCACAGGGAAAAGAATGCCACAGCGACACGCTTCATTACATTCCTCCTCCGTGCATTGTAACGACAAAAAGTGAATTCGCTGCCCCTTCGCAGCGCCAGTGAATCATGGTTGAGCGGCAGCGCAAACAACGAAATGTAGAGCCAGTAGTATATTCGAGTACACTACGCCAGCTGTGCCTTCTCTACGTCAAGCCATTCCTTCATTTCTTTTCCTAGACGTCGAGCGAACTTTCGCGCGCGCAGCCATGATTTTCTCAATTTAGCCAGCAGCAAGCCAGAGCAAGCTCACTGGCCACCAGCTATCCAACCCAAGTACATTGGCATGACCACTGGTGGCGTTAGCGGCGCTGTGAGCAAAGTTATCGGGCACTTTGTTGAGCTAGTTGAGCATCTTAACTAGTTGAGCGTCTTAATAACGCAGGGAATGTCACGAGCCTTAGCAAGTACAGTATGCAGTTGACGAAATGGCCTCGACGCCCGAACAAGTTGTCTGCACACCGACTTTTGTTTTTCCAGCCGCTTTCCCAGGTGAGCGACTGGTAGCACCGTAGCGGTACGCGCGGAACGGCTTTTGGGGGCTCCCCCCCCGACCATGGCTCCTTTGTCTGCCCGAATCGGTTGCTGTCCCCCCCTCCGTCATAGCCGCGCAGTTCGTGCCGTTGCCGGCGTAATTGTTGAATGAAATGAGGCGCGCAAATAGTGAGATGTTGGTAGAATGAGCAAACAGTGCCGTTGCCTGAAGCAAGGCAGAGCGTCATGATTGCAAGCCGATGCTAACGTAGCGTGGGCCACCGGTCCGGCGTCCGCGCGCGGTGTTGCACTGTGCCGCCTTTGTGATGTTGCGCTAGAAGGCGGGAAGCATATCATAAACACTGCTCATGGCTGATAAACGATGCGCTGCTATATGTGATGCTGAGCAGCGAAATCTATTAGCTGATATGATCTTTTGTTCTGGGCTTTGTTTTGTAACTACGCTGTTAGTGCGGCCTCACAAGGAGCACACCGCAGAGCTTCTCTATTGAAATTCGGTTGACGAATCGGGCTATCGCCAACATCTCGCATAATTGCGCTACGTGAATCATGATGGAGATACGGGGCGCTTCTATTGCAGAAACATACGGCAAATTGCTGATTGCCGAAGCGAGCAGCTGTTACGGTGAGTGCGATCAAATAATTGTTCTACTTGTGCTTAAGTTGAAAGATTGGACATAAGTGGCAGTAACAATAACGGTGTGTCTCTTTACCTGAGTAGAAGTTAGTAGTACATATTAAGTATTGCAGGAAAGTGCAATAAGTTTCTTTGTTTTAGGGGCGAGTTGCCACATATTTGCCCGGATCTTTAGTAGAATTCGCTAAGTATGATTGATGCTCAGAGGTAAAATAATTAGGAAACTGCCTTAAGTCTGTCAATTGTTCACCGCGAAAAGTAGGTTTTACAAAAGAAAGAGAGGGAGGAAATGTTGGCAGCATACTTCTATTGGAGAAAACAAAATATTAGCAATATCGATGTTCTCGCACGATTAAAATAGTGACGGAACTCTTTGGCAGCACTGTCCTTAGTGCAATTGTGCCTGCATTGTGCTTAATACATCTGCATTTAAAACTGACAGCTGCCCGTTTTTTTTTTGTCTTGCATTGTGTGGCCATACACGTACAGAATATTGAGAATGGTTGTCCTCATTGTTGGTTTGTACGCATGTTCTTTAAATGCATGGTGTCTTTTTCTCGCTTACCTCTTGCATTGTTTAGCTCTAGTTTGAGGTTAACTACATGTTCTGTATTTGTGCAAAGTAGCAGGCATGACTCACATTGTCTGGCGTTCTTACCAACTTTAATCCCTATTTTTTTCATTTGACATGTGGAAGTGGCTTAATTGGCTTTTCTCCAGAGAGTGCACCGTTGATAATTGTCACCTGAAAATGTCCATGGAAGCAGGCAGAAGAAATGTTACTCAAATGTGGCCATGATGGTACTTGTGCATCGATTTCTGGGCTGCGCTGACCTCACACACATGCCAGCAGTTGCACTGGTCTACTGTTGCAGTGCAAGCGTGGTGGCATTTCTGTGATCGGTTGTTTAACAGCTGCTATTAGGAGACTTTGGTGAAAACTTGACCGTGAATTGTCAAGGTATTGACTACTAGAGTAACTTCATCATTAAAGTTTGATAAGAACCAATCATCAATTTGCTTGCCAATTGCAATAGCCAGGTCAAAAACAACCATTGAATTTTAAAATTCATTAAACACTAGGCTCAAAATGTGACAATCGATGGTAGAGTACGCTTGCAATTTTTCATATTTAATTAAAGCCATATAAGCTAGGGCAAGGAACGAGCAACAAGCACAAGTGCTTTTTCTGTCTGTCACTTGTTCTTTGTTCTAGTTATCATTCTGATCTGTTTAATTCAAGATAAACAAATATGACACCAACTGTGTCAGCTTGGTCGATTCCTATGCTCAAGCAGTTGCCACTGTGGCAATTCATGCCAGTACTTCACTGCATAGAGTTTCTCACTAAAATATGGAAGGAAATCTGGCACAACTATCTATGCGAATTTTTAAGGGGCCTCGTTGGAGAGCTGGGAATGACGCTATATGTGTCTGTGAGGCTTGTGTTGGCTGGTGTTAAGCGAGGCTGCAGTTCAAAAGCGGATATGTCTGTGCAAATAATGCTTCTTTACAACAAAACTGTTATAAATGGATGTCGTTCACACTAACTATATTCTAAAATAAGAGTCCACTCACCTTGACGGCGGAACCAAACGGTGAAAGAGAGAAACGGACGACATAAAATGACTGAGGAAACGCCGGCTTTGTCGTCTGCCTGCCAAGTTTAGCAACCATTGGTTATTTCTTATGCTTTGTAAAATTGTACATTGATGCAGAAGGTTGCAGTGTTAAATAAAACACATTTCTGTGCAATGACAAAACGTAAATACCTTACAATGTGCTTTTTTAGTAAGAAATCAATCATTTTAACGTGAAGCCAGACGCGTCTTCGAAGTATAAGAATCCGAGTCAAGTTCGAAGCTCACATATCCCGTCATACCCGTGCATCCAGCAGCTCACTAGCGCCAGATTTCCCTCTAAGGTATGTTTGTGAGAAACTCCATGCTTCACTGCTTGCATAAATTTTGTGGCAAAAATTAAATTTGGTGGAAAATAAATGCTCCTGTCATCTGATCATATAGAAATACCAACCTTAATGTTTGAGGGTTCAAATTTATTTATAGTTGCGCTATTTTCTTATTTTACGTCGAGAGTGTGAAGGTCTGGTGACATGTAGAGTGGACCAGCTTTTATTCCTTGGCAGATTTTTCAAATAACTAGGAATGCCCATAATTTGCTAAACATGGACAGTTTTTTTTTTTCTAATATTCTTGAACATGGGACTTTCTAGCTGCCTACCAATATGGAGAATGTAAAATTTTGGGGAAATTTATGAAGTCTAGAGCTCTAGGAAAAAAATGGTTTTGTGCAGGAAAGCTGACCATATTTTCCATTGGAATCGAAGCTGCAATAATGCTAGCACCTTTTATTTAAGTGCAACTTTCTTTCCCTTCATGCTCAAGTAACAGTTCATTATGCCGATGAGACTATGGGATGAACAAAAAGAACTAGCTTTGTGTGTGGAGTTTTCACTACACGTGGATCTTGGCCAATGTCAGCCATCCTTTGTTTTGTGGCGTATTCGGTTGGCTGCTCTGGTTCGCTGGCTCAGAGTCGCCAGATGGAGAGGCAGCTCGCAATCCGAGCGTGAGAGGCAGGGTACCAGCCGAATACATTGGTGATCTTGGAGCACTTTAAGAGCGGCGCGCCTGTAGTGCCACCGTGCAGCCAGCACTGGAAGCTGGTGGGTAAACCTTACTGCGCCGCGTCAACAAATGGTGCCAATCAGTTCAGTGGGCATCTCTGAAATGTCTGATCTTTGTTATAATCTTTCTGTTTTTCTCTCTGACATGTCTGGATGAATCGAAAGCCTTTTGAGTTAGAGCACATAAATCTGGTGATCGAGCTTGTCTGAGCTGCTATCTTGAAGGCAAATCACGGGGCTGTCTGCGAGCTGCTGTAACCACAGCATTGACGTTTCCTCCACCTTCACTGGCCGCCTCGTTATTGACATGGTGCATTTATGGCTTCGTAGATGTGAGTTCGCTCCACACAAGCGCAAAAATGCTATTAACAACCCATGTGCATGAAGTATTACTAGTAGTATTACGTGCCCGGCAATAGCTCGTGCTCCTCACCTCATTCTCCTGCCGGCAGCCACATGATTGGCTGGCTTGTGTCGTGTGATCGGTCCTTCCGGTCAGATCGCGCTACGCTCTCACTTTGAAGTCAGAGCATTTGGGAGTGCTCCAAGTCAGAGGCCGACGCTCTGAAAGAACCAACCGAAGGTAGTCCGAGCGCTCGAGTTCTACCAACCAAAGGCGCAATCACTTTTCAGAGCGCTCAAAAACGCCCAACCGAATACGCCATTACTATTATGCCAAAGTGCTACAAAACGGTGCAGTGCTTCCATTTTGAAATGCTGATAATGCACTTCATTGGGTGAGTGGAGCTCCATGATTACTGCTGGCCTCCTGTATTGTTTCTGCCAGCGGGCTCTCGACCTCCCTATCACCACGTCCAACCAGAGACTTCTGGCCCTAGGCGTGGTGAATACCTACCGGGAACTTCGAGAAGCCCACCTCGTTAACTAATACACGCACCTTTTACAGACCCATTCCGGTCGCCGCCTCTTGGACCGAATACACATCAAACACGATTACTATATTGAGGAAAGGGTGAGAGTGCCAGAACCTTGGAGACGCGCCCTCCAGGTCCGACCCCTTCCCTGCAACATGTCTAAAGAAAACCACAGTGGTCGCCGCCGGCGCGCGGAAGCGTTGCAGCGACACTTTGGTCAAGAGGAACACGTGTGCTAAGTGGGCGTTGCTGGCCCGCACCATGGGGGGTGGTATACAGCCGCAGTCATACACAACACAAACACTGTAAATGGGCTCACTTTCAAAGCCTACAGCGCAACACACGCGGAGGAGATTGCCATTGCTCTGGCTCTCGCCTATCCCTCTTCTAAACATATCATCGACTCACGAGGTACCTGTCGGAACTATCAGCTAGGGTGGGCTTCGCCACTTGCTCAGCGCATACTGGAACCTAGCTGCCAATACGTTAATCCAACTCCGCGAAATCTGGTTTGGGCACCCGGTCACCAAGGACTCGAGGGGGGGGGGGGTAACGAACAGGCCGATCAGGTTGCCCGCGCACTCTCTTCCCGGGCTATCTCCCTGTCTTTGGAAGCCTACTTCCAATCAGACAATTCGGCCCTTCAAAGATATTACCAATTACTACAAGGAGGAGTACCGGTGCTATCCAGACCCTTGTAAGGGACTGCATTGTGCTGACGAGCGCCTCCTCTTAAAACTGTTTACCAATACTGTACTATGCCCGGCGGTGCTAAAACATTTCAATTCATCCTTTGATGGTACCTGCCAGTTTTGTGGTGAGGTGGCTGACACCTTCCACATCGTCTGGGCGTGCCAGTCTAATCCATCTATCCCCCCAACCCCACGAGAGAGGACTGGAAGGCGGCCCTGCTCGGCTGTCAAGACCTGAAGGCCCAAGAGGCCCTGGTTCAACGGGCGCGGGCGGCGTTGCTTGCCAATGGAGCTCCGGAATAGGGGTTCCACCTAGTGCTGTAAGGGTAGGAGGCCAATAAGACCCCAACTCAATCACCTCTCTGTAACCATTTAATGGTTATTAAATGTTTCACCACCACCACCCTGTAGACAACTGAGCATGGCAGCAGAAAAGCTATGCCGCATGATTTCTCGTATCAAATAAAAGTGGACTTCCTGGGCAATGCCATGATGGAGTATCCATTTCTGCTCTTCAATCAATACACTTGCTCTAGTGGTTGCAGTAGGTTTCGTGCTCTAACGATGTCTAATGACGATGAAGTATATCCAAATTAACAAATTGAACAGTAACATTAACAGCTTAATTACCTCATTAACTTACTATGCAAACTTGCAACATTGCAAGGCGTTGGCCTCTATTGGACCGATTGAAAGAAATGTGAGCACAGCATACTATGTACATGTCGCCCAGCAGTTCTGCCATTCAACATGTGTTAGGATGGTTGACATATT